CGAATCCGGCCTTTTGCGGAGTGCAGTAGTGTAAAGATCACCACCTATAGAAACCACAGGGAATCTGTTAAGATTGCAAGGAGCATCGTTCGCCATGGCCGATGTCAAGAAAAGTCATGGAGTCTACCTCTGGGCATATACACCCTCATCGTGCGCTCCGGCAATCCCCCTCGCAGACATCAATTTGGGCATTGACCCCACCACGGACAGTCGAAGGTTGATTCAGACATGAGTGAAATCCTATATTCCACTTGGGTGTTGTGTGAGTGCTCCTCAAAGATGAATATTACATACAATCACAAACGTAACCGGATTCACTAACCCTATAAGTCATCAGTTGATCTTGCCGTCTTCAGAGCAAGATGCTCTATCCACTACAATACTGGCGAGCGTTTTCCCTTCCTTACGTATACTACTACGTTCATCCTCCCTGTGCCCGTACAGCCACTGCCTCGGCTTGTATTATCCTAGGCCACATCGTACACAACATACTAGCTAGCAAGCCGTTTTCATATCTTAGTAACATGCCTCAGCTGTCCATTCGTCACGGGCGACCTCAGCTCTTCTATCGTCATAGCCGACTAATTGGGGAAGCTACGCGAGCCTTTCATTATAAATAAAGCGCGACCATGAGCATAGTCGGCCTGGTTTCCCAGGTTCGATGCTTGTGACTTTCATTCTCACGGTTCTCATCGTTAAGATCCGAATGTGCGAGGGTAGTCTCTTGGTGATTGAGTCGCCTATGAACCTGAAAAAGTACATACCTACTCGGCATACCGTCAGTGTCCTGGATACGCATACTTTCCTTCGCCAGCCCTTTCCCGAATACCGCGCAAGAATTTCCCCGTCTCCCCGTGAAGTTGCTCACGATGATGCTCTGTCTCCAAATTCCGTAGAATAGACAATCATTATAGGCCGACTACCCAGCCCGCCCTCACAGGGCTCCTTCGGCTCTAATCTAGACGGGTACTGTCTTCGGAAATCATATTCCACTAGCGACTCACCGATGACGACGTCGCCCACGTAAATCTCCTTCTTATGCTTCAGACCAGAAGGTACGCCCCCGCAAATCCAGACCACCAAGCCTATGTTGATATTAGGAACGCTTAGCCTTAGACCGGCCGCCACAGCTGCTGCACTGACCTTCCCAATGTGCAGCATATGCGTCAAAACGACGTTGTGTGTTTCCCTATAAAACAGGTTGTGTAGGCTTTTAAATCGCCTAGCATGCTCGGCATCTTCCCATGGGTGGTCAAAGAGTGCGATGACCGCATTGGCTTCCAGAGGCAGGGCTCAGATGAGCGCAACCTGGAAGTGACTACGATAAAATGGGCCCGAAAGTGTCATTCTCACAAAAAATCTTCGTGATTATAGGTGGAGACCAACAGTGTGAGACATTAATGAGGGCCAGATAGGGTCATTATTTTAACGCTGTTTTATGAGGGCGAGGCTGGTCCTCAATTGTTTAACCATATTTACTAGCTCTAAATGCCACGCTAAAATGCTGACGGCCGCTGCAGTACGTATGGACAATTGCGTAGGATTGAACCAAGATCAACGAGAGAGCAACGTGGAGATAGAGACGCTCGATCGTGCGATTGAATGGCGGTCGTGCTCGCCTAGTACCTTTGTCAAATGTGACAACAATGTCTTCACAAGCGAGGCCTATACCGCTAAGATGTCGCTGTATACATACAGCTGAAGAGGTCTACATGCCCAAGTGTACCTGGTATTTGTGTCCGCTTAATACGGTAGCTCGGTCCCCTTGGAAAACCTAATGTGATATGTGACTCTATCCATGAGATATCCAGTTTCATCAAACGACGTTGTGATATAGTGTGCTGCTTTCCCTGAACTCTGAGTTGGACATGGTATCTACTACCATCCAAACATGCAAGTATGCCTCCTTTCACTCTTGAGTAGCGTTGTTATGATATCACTCCATATATTTTATATTGAAAATAGTGATCGGCTATGCTCGCTAACTGTCTGTCGTGTACTGCATGGTCGCTCCGTAAGAGAAGGTCTCTGATCCAGAGAACAAGGCTGCAGTTTCTAGCATAGCATGTGTAATTGACACAGTAGGTATCTTCGACGGTACAATTTCTCACAGTTTCCTCCCTACTCTCAGGCAGATGCTTTGCTGGGTGTCGACGCATGTATAGCCTTTAATGCTGGTGCTACGCATACCCAATTTGTAGCCTTCCGTTGTTACTATAATATATGATGTTCTTTACATGACCAGTAATAACAACTGTTAGAAATATTATAATTCTATATACATAGTTTAAATGTTCATGCCTATTTGCATATAATCACCACTACATACTTACTTACCGTATGGAGGAGCCCTAGCCAAGTGATCGGTGCAGGTTCCACTGAGGCACCAACCGGGTTAGTATATCGAAGTTGACTTTGATATTGACCAGGATATCTGGCTAGTTTCGGGCACTATTCTGGGTTAGTGCCAAAAGTCTGATACACATCAGGCACCCTCTTTTCTCCGCAGTTGGACCTTGTTAAAGAATACGAAAATATCGAATTGACTATCCACGACACAAGTACAGAACACACGTTCCATTTTAAACCAGTATGTAATCTAGTCCCGTTATGATAGAATATGGAGGTCTCTGAGGAAAGTATAACCCTAGTGAATCCAACTATTCAAGATATCCTCCTGAATATACCATCTCGCTATCGAGGACCAGGCGGAGCGCTTGCTGTGTTGAAGGATGGCAAACTCGTCGGCGAGCACCTCTGGGGTTTCGCCGACATGCAAAGCCTGATTCCCATGACCCCATCAACGTTGATGCCAATATGCTCGATCACAAAACAAATGGTGTGCTTGATCCTGAAAGATCTAGAGCGCAATCCCACCCCAGAGATGCTGAAGCGGGGCAACGTGTCTCGGCAGTTCTCGGACGCTCTTGATCAAATGCTCCATCCCGACCTCACGACAAATACCGGACTAAAATTAGAGCATCTATGCAACAACCAGTCTGGAATACGAGATTACTGGGCTATGTCCATGTTCTGGGGTGCCCATCCCGATGGTGAATTTCGACTCGAAGAAGATGCCAAGAAGGCACTCGACCGGACAAGGTCTCTGCATTTTGAACCCGGTACGCAGTATGCGTATTGTAACTTGAACTTCCATATCCTTGCCCGAATTATCGAAGATGTGAGTGGGCAAACCCTAGGCGATCTACTCGCTGAAAGGCTCTTCTTGCCGGCTCAGATGAAAACTGCGCGCTTGTGCGCCGACAACGCTAACCTCCCTCCACCTTGTGTTGGGTATGAAGGAACCGAGTCCTCTGGCTTCATCCCAGCCATCAATCGCATGGAGTGGTCTGGTGATGCAGGGGTTGTGGCTTCCCTCGAGGATATGATTGCATATGAACATTATTTGTACACTAACTGGGACGACGAGCAAAGTGTATATCGTGCGATCGCGCAACAACAGTCATTCAAGGATGGCACAATTGCACGATATGGATACGGCCTAGAGCACGGTACTGTCAGAGACGTGGCTACGATCGGCCATGGCGGTGCTCTTCGTGGATTCCGTCTTCATAGAATCCAGGCTCCATCAGAGAAACTGGCGATTGTGGTTATGCTCAATCACCAGGCTGATGCGCAAGAGGCGGCACATTATATTATGAAAGATATTTTCGGCATATATAAGGGCCACGTTCCTAGACTTAGCCCTGTCAGTCCCTCCCCGAATTGGGTTGGCACTTTTTACGATGCAGAGGCCCAGTTAGCTGTTGAGATTGGACATGGCCGTCAGGGCCATTTAACCGTCTCTTATGGGGGTCCCAATGACATTTTGATCTGTCTTGAAGAAAACAAAGCCCAGTCAAGTAATATGATTGGCACAATCAATGGTGATTTCCTCGTGCTCCACCGTTTAGACGACAATCGTCTCATTCGTGCCAATCGTGTTGCTACTGGCCAGCAACCACCCAAAGACTATTACCTTGGCGCATATTACTGTGCAGAAGTTGACTCGACCTTTCATTGTACTGGTGGAGGTGGCATGTTATATGGACTATTTGAAGGATACCTAGGTCAAGGACCACCACACCTCATGCGATATATTGGGGAGGATATATGGATTCTTGTATGTCCACGAGGCTTAGATGCGCCGGCACCCGGGAACTGGACAGTAGTATTCCAGCGCGATGACCACGGAGATATTGTTCGTGTTACGATTGGCTGTTGGTTAGCCAGGAAAGTGGTATTTGTTAAACCATAATTAGGCATTAGACGGAAAACAGGTTGTAACTCGCTTGTGGACAACAGTCTTGAAGCTTATCATGCAACTCGTCCAATAACAAATAACGCGACATTCGATCAACTAGAGGTGATATCGGAAAGCATCCCATGTTTACTACGCACAACATGAGTATCCCCCCAAACCTAAGATCCGCTAAAGGCAAGGATGTGCCCTACTAGCACTACTAGCTACTTTTAGTACCTGAGGTGGCATTTGCAGGCGTTCCTAACTTTGGCAAATATTACCACGCTTCGGCATAATATTCGAGCGAAAGAATCTACGATCAACATGGCCAGGCGCTCCTATAGAACGCTGGAGCATTGCCCACAACCTAGTCCTACTGTGGTTATTATTTAATGGGGTTCTGGGCAATCCTTATCACTCGTTTAATCTCCGTACCCAATCTTTGTCTCTGCCTGACAACTGAACTATATGTAATGCGAGCTGCCTCCATCGAAACATTCTTTCAGTGCCTCCTTACTAGCTGCGCACCCTCCGGGGGACTGCGGTTCTAACGCTGAGCATATCAAGCCTCTTCAGTAGCCTCTTTGCCGTGGCTTATGTATGCATTTCCAGATTGAGAAGCTGGTTTTTGGTATTGAGCTGTCTGGCCTAGTACAATGTCTCTCTTAATGATAAACCAATCCTCAGAACACCATGCATAGCTCTTTGAAATAAAACAAAGCCAACGTCCGTGCCATTTGAAATAAAAAAATAAAAATTAGGAGAGCACCCAGAGCCGATACTCTGGATTGCTTTCATCCTTATCCAGCGGCCTGATCACCTCCATAGCTCTATGGAACGCTGTCAGCTTCCTTGCTACGTTTAGCTCCTGACGAAAGAACCCCATATCTATAGTGAAAGTCCTTGACGTATCGAAGTTGGAAAACAAGGTCCTGCAACCCTCAGGAATTAAATCCGTGACACTAAGTACGAGATTTTGCGGATTAGCGGGGGTTGGCAGAACATCCTAAAAACGTAATTAGTTTCTATCCATCGTTCATCAAGGTATGACCCACAATGCGCGGTCCCCTCAGAACGGGGTATCCGTCTCTCAATTCCCAAACCTCTAGATATACAGAGATTTGGCCAACCCAATCAGACGCAATGACTTCAGATTTGACTGCCTTGTACAAAGCGGGCGAGGAATTTTGAATTCCATCCACGGTATTTTCGATGTCGAAAGTCTCTTGCGACATCGCATCTCCGTATTTAGTGACAAGCATATCGCGAGTGCATGTAAACTGCTCCGTTTTGTGATGGATGGCGCGCTGGCGCTTGTCTTCATCTATTTTGGCGATGATCACTACTTTGGTCTCGCCGCCAGATCGCAGTAGCCATTGTGAAGCGTCACGGACCAGGTCATGATAACTTTCTGAGAAACCAATTTCAAGGACAATTTGTAGAAATTGTTCTTCGGCTTCAATGTCGTTGAAATAGATCAAGTTATCGGGATGCTTCGTCCACGCTGCAGGTTTTTCACCAAGCTTTTCTCCGGGATTGAGTGGTCTAGAGAGGAGAACGGGTAATGGGTTTATTACGATGCACTTGACTTCGTCAACAGTTAGGGTAGTACGATGCGCCGTGATGAAAGATCGGAAGATGCACGAGTTGAGGGCGGCATGCAGGGGAGAGCCCATAGCTTTAACCTTCAGAATTTCATATTCCGGATCATATTCCCACTGGCACAACCTTTTCTCCGAGCCCTTTTGTAAAATATCACGGATTTCCTTGGTGAGGTTGTCCCAGGACAGCGCCAGTAGCAAGTTTTCTTGGGTGCGGCTGAGCAAGAACGATATTATGTGACTCTGTGCTTCACCTGGCGAATCCACCGGGATAGCGTTTGACACCTTGGGATAGTAAGTGACCGAAGGTTGAGAGATGGCTGTCGGTGCCATGGTGAACTGCATAAAGAACTGAAAATGGGGGGCGTCCAAAGATGACAATAACGAAGAGAGCGAAAAAGTGCGAAAATGGAAGGTGATCCTTCTGGATGAGGAAGCGGGAATAGAAAGGACAAGGTAGTGACGAAGGGAGAGTTACGAGACTAGGATAGAGGTGTTTTGTGATGGTAGGAAAGAGTATTTAGAAAGGTGCACAATATTCAATGAAACAAAGGTCTGGATATGTGGGACCTAAGGTGGTTAAATACACGGCTCTTTGGTGAGTTTTAGACTTTTTTTTTTCTTTTCTTTTCTTGCCGCCTTATTTTTATTTGATTTTTCCTGTTTGTTTGCTTTTTCTTTTTCTTTGTTCTTTTTTGGCCTTCCCCCTTTGCTTTACCGGTCATGAAGTCATGGTTACCAATTCTGAGGGGGCCTTGGCTGCAGAGCCATTCTGGATGGTATTATCGGCCTTCGGGACATCTGCTTTTTCATCTACCTCGACAATATCACGAAGAGCACCAGCGCATGGGACAACTAGGTCATTGTCAAGCAAGTGCTTCCAATGGACGAGGATCTCTGGAGGCACCTTCATTCTGGCTTCGTCACCGTCGAGTCGATTGTTGTTGATTATTTGGCCGTTCGCAACCACAATGAGACAAGCACGTGCACGCGTAAGAGCGACGTTGGCGCGGCGGTTATCAGAGGCGAAGCCCAAGTCACTCGGTTCTCCAAAGGTAACGACCCAGTCGACTATGACGATATCGGCTTGGTTGCCCTGCATTCCATCTACCGTAAATACGGAAACCATGTCCTCCCAAGCAATGCTTTGTTTGCGGGAAAGATTGAGCATTGAATTAATGTAAGCCTTTTTTTGATCGGCATATGTCGGTAGGATGCAGCAAGACAAACCAGAAAGTGCGTTTTCAGTAATGAGATACTCAATTAGATCCATAACTACTGCAACATTGCGCACATTGGATCTTGAATATGTTGTAGGGTTGGTGACCGAGTTTCCATCGCTTACGTCAAGCCCGATAAGTTCTATCTCGTTCCTGAATTCGACATCGTTGGCTTGGAGCTTGAGCCATACAAGGAGTTTCTGAGAAAACACGGGATTCAATGTAATTGCTTCCACGGATGGATCGTTTGTCATCTTCCCTTCGTATGTGAAGTCGGAAGGGAATTTCGAAAGACTAGGACGCATGCGATGTTGCTGACAGACAATAGCCACTGGAAACCTCGCGCAGCGGAGTCTATCAAAAAGAGATTTCCCTATCTGGGCGCCGAACTCGTTGTACCCAGGAGATTCATTTGCTGATAACTAAAGGTGGGAGCTGATGCCGATCTCCTCCTCTGATCATTCCGATAACCTTGTCTGCATTATCGAGAGAGACTAGTGGGACAATGGCGTCAGGTTCTGTGGCTTGGCCATCCTCATCTGCAATAATGATGATCCCTTTTCCCTTGGTACCAAAGTTTCGTCGGACAAGATCAGTTCCTGCCAGATTATTCGTACAGGCAACCACACGAGCCTCCTGAATGATGAGTTCAGAAACCGCGTCATAGGACTTTTTGAATGCAGTTTCTCTCTTGGACCATTTCTCAAGATCCTCGCAGGACGCGTCCTTGGGCCGGGGGACCTTTGGCTGGCTGAGGTACTCACGAACCACGCTATAGGCATCTTGCAAGTCCTCCGTATAGTCAGGTTCGGCATTTCTAGGGGCTGTCACCTGCTTCTTTGGGGTAGAAATCGCCACATTCAAGACAAACTCCTCGCCAGCAGCATACACAGTGTTACATTTCCATTGAACGTAAGTTAACACGCTCTGCTCCAGATCTCCTTCCACTTTTCGAGAACGCGATTCCTTCATAGTCATGATGAGACCCATCAAAGCAGAGTGTATTTCAACTTCTGCGTGTTCCTCATCACCATCAGCACTCTCCCTGGGGTTTGCAGTTGTTCTGGAGCGTTTCTCGACTTCTCCACGGCGCACACGAACATATTCAACCTCAGGTGCCAGCTCTTTAAATTCTCTAGTTAGCGCATCGACAGCTGCATTGCTGGGTCCCACTAGGAGTATATCAAACCCACAAAGATGGAGGAAGATTGCGATGGCGGCCAGGACTGTGGTCTTGCCACATCCTGGAAACCCCTCCAAGAGCGAGCAACCCGCCTTTGTATTACGCACGGACCGAAACGCGGCGACCTTGTCCGCATTCCACTGCTTTAGCTGAAGTAGATGCCGTAATGCAGATTGGATGAGGTTCGGGTCAATCCCGTGGAGAAGGTCGACGTCGGGCAAGGCATTAGGCTCATGATTGAGCAAAAGCGGGAACCATCTTGCAACTTCATTCTCGTTAGCCTTCAGCTTCGCAAGAGCGTTGATGGACCTTCTGATAGGCGCCTTGTTGATCTCGAACTTGAGGGACACGGGATGTTCGACGATGGCACTGTCCTGGTCGGTGTTCAAGAGCTTTCCCAGGCGTGGACCGTAAAGCACGATCTGAATGGCGCTAGGGTCCTCGTCTTCTATGTATCCAGGTACTGTGAACCCACTACCTTTCCATTCCATCGTTGGTCCTGAGCCCTTAGGAACACGAACAATGACTTCGACCTCCGTGAACTCGGGCAGAATCAGCTCCATTCCCTTCATCTCAGGTGGGAGGAGATCCTCCTTAAAGGCATATCTGTCCAGCATAGCAATAGCGACAATCGATTCGCCAATTCTTTTCAACTTGATAGAAGCGGGGATCAGTTGGATTCTTTTAATCATTTCATAGGGCCGTCTCCATTCGAGCACTGCGCCATAGGCCATCTTGACTAAATAAGCGTCGATATCGTAGAAATGCGATTGCCCACGGAACTTCACCATATCCGAACCCCAACCTTGGTGAACAATAACACGAGGCTTCTGCTGTCCAAAAAGAATCCGCACTTCTCCACCATGTGCACGGTACGGGGACCAAGCCGCGGATGTAGGATGCAAGTTGGCTATGTCCTTTAGTGTTTCGAGGAATCCCGTCAGTCGAGATACATCCCGAGGGTCGATATCGACGCGAAGATTGACCGTACGGGGCTTAGTTGAGGCATTCCTTGTCAGGCTATACATGTAAACGAAGAGCTCGTTGGTCTCACGGTTGAACTCGTGCCCATCTGAAAGGCCTTGAGATATTCCGCCAGTAGTGTCAAACTCAATGTCAATATAGCAAGGAGCGATATACTCGACTTTGCTTCCCTTGTCCGCCTCATCGCCTTCCTTCGGCTTTGTGGGGAGATGTTCAGTATAACTGAAGTTTTGGACACAACGTTGGATTCGCCGGTCAACAAAGGGATGAAGATTGAACTCGAGTCGGGCAGAGTGAGCAACATTCTCTGGATGTAACTCTTTCTTCATTGGAGACTTTGAACGCGTCACAAAAGCCTGAAAAGCCAGCTTACCGGCGATTGGTCGATCCGAGATCCGAAAACAAACTGCCGTGTCGCCATGTGTAAATGTGGATTTCGCTGGTAGAAAATTCGGTTCAGTGAAGGAGGAAGAGGAAGAGGACTCGGATGGCACCTTGAAGCGAATCCACCTCTCTCTTGGGCCATGAAAATGGTGCCAATCGGGTGACCTTGTGCTGGCCAAAGCAATCATATTATCCTGTGTCAGGTCCTTGTTATCTTCCTTGACTTCAGCGGCTTCTGCCATATCCTGTTTAAGTGAGATCATCGGTCAGTGGCCCTAGAGAGGTTATTTGAGTGATAGATCAATCTTACCGCAGAAGCGCCAGGGTTGTCGCCCTAGGAGTCGCTGCGGGTCTACTCAAGACTGTGTGTTATCGATCTGGAAGAAACTATTAGAATTGTCCCTGGTACTAGCTAAAGCTCTTGCTTACGACGCACCGATTTATCTCCAAGAACCCCACTTTCAGTACACAACACTTTGTTGGAGGCTTCCTTTTTCTCATGAGGATCACTGCAGACGAACACCGGCGCTTGGGGGTTGAGTTTCAGGGTAGGGTCCGCCATTTTTTCCCTTCTCAGATCAGCTTGAGGGCACCAAGTCGTTGGACGAGGCTGAGAGACTCACTGTATTGGAAGTGGAAGCTCCACGCCACCAGGCAGTATAGGGATATTGAAACGGATACAGAGAGTTTCAGGGAATTGAGGGAGATGGACGCGAGAGTTGCAGGACAGGAGGAGGGGTCAAAACAGGTATACGGTGAGTAGCCAGGAAGGACAAATGATGTAGAAGGAGCTTGGAGATGGGAGATATGACATGTAAGATGCTTTTTCTTTGACCTGTTATGATGTTTCTTGTCTTTGAAGCTTTTGAATGTGTTTAGGCCTGGATATGTAGGACCTAGGGGAAGAAAGAGGGAAAGGGGAAGAAGAAGACAAAGGGAAAAAAGTAAAAATGGGGGGAGCGAGGGAGTAACAGAAAAGACCGTGTGAAATTTCTCGTCGTTGGTGAATGAAGGAAGAAGTGAAAGAATCGAGCAGGACACTGATTTCATGGACTCTTAGAGAATCCTTCCACACAGTTTTTCCTTCCCTTCTCAACAGAGAGATGGGAACAGCATTATGGCATGACTTATTCCGTGCTACACTATAAATGACTTTATATATGTAAATCGCCTCTGTTATTTCACTTGCATGCCTTCACTGTGACATCCTACACATTTCTTGCTATCACATCCATATGAACACCTACTCAACACCATGCGTAACACAACTATAAGCCGTGGTACGGGCCATAAAGGCCTATCTATTGAGCCTTCAGGCCTGGGGTGAACGTGAAGCTAATTGATAATTATGTACAGCTGAATTTTTTGAATGCTTCCTTTCTAGATATCGATATCGATATCGATATGTAACGGCGGCTGCCTCAGGCAACGTTTACTCCACCACCTGCTACTGCGGCCCAACTTCCATATTACCAGTAGATTCTGATTACGCACAGGATTTAGAACCCCAAGCGATTCGCTCTGTTTCAAACCCCATACATTCTTCCTTGGGACCCTAAACATTCCTCATCTCACTAGTGCAATACATCTTGTATTAGTTGGCCTACAGCGCTCCGAAGCCGTACCGCCCGTCAAATGACGTATACCGGTAGGGCTCTAGCATTGATTTTTTGATATATCGAAGACATATCTTTTAAAAAAAAAGAAATACAAAGATAATAATTCTAAACGATATCTTTTTCGAAAGTAAAACGAGGGCCTGTGTTGGCTAGATGTAAAGCACCTGTTGCCTTGGAGATTAAAACATCAACTTATGTATGATTATTAGGAAGTTGACGCACTAAACAGGCAACTCTAAATTGGCGGTAGTTGGACTCGGCATTGTGTATAGTTGAGGCAAGTGTAAGCACTCGGATGGATTTGTCAGGAGGCACTACCTTCCACTATAGTCGACCTTCCCCAGACTTCCCCGCAATATAGCGCGAACATCCCCCACATCTAAGGAAATTCAATATACCGCTCTTGTGGGACTCCCAAAATGGTAACTCCAAACCGCCGAGGTAGTCTGATAGCTAAATTATAAAAACCGAGCTCACCTTGCTGGAGAAGCGACTGTGTGGTTGGACCCTGGGCTCAATATTGACCGCGGTACTGCGAGGAAGAGAGCTACTCAAGATGCGGTTGTTCATCCGCCGCCTGTTCGCGATTGGCTTGTTAGCCACTGCCGCCCATGCATATGCTTCCAGCAGGTCGGCAATGCTGCGCACAGTCGTCACGACTGACATGGAGCAGGACGACTTAGCGTCACTAATCCGATACCTACTCTACACCAATGAGCTCGATACACAGGGTATCATCTACTCCTCTAGCAAGATTCACTGGAGCGGTGACGGCAATGGCACAAGGTTTTTCCTGCCTGACCGTGAATATACCTCCCCGCAGTGGTCATGGCGCTGGACCGGCACGCGGACTATCCAAGATAAAGTGCTCCAAGCATACGCAGAAGTTTTCCCAAACCTGCTTTGCCATGATCCGTTCTACCCGACACCAGACGAGCTGCTGTCCAAGGTCAAAATCGGTAATATCGACTTCGAGGGCGAAATGGATCACGACACGGATGGGTCTAACCTCATCCGCTCGTTGTTGCTGGACGAAGACCCGCGGCCGCTCTACTTGCAGGCATGGGGTGGCACCAACACTATCGCCCGTGCTTTAAAGTCCATCGAGGAGCAATACTCGGGCTCGCAGCAGTGGACGGAGACCAAGGACACAGTCTCCCGTAAAGCTGTGATCCTGGCTAGCGCCTTTCAGGACGAGACATATGCGAACTATATTTCCCTCAACTGGCCACAGGTCCGCGTCGAGCAGATGGTGGCCGGATATAGCACCTGGGCCTACAACTGTGATAAGGGCCAGGGCAACGCCCATGGCTTGCCTGAATCCCGCGTATACTTCACCGGTGACTGGATCAAGGCGAACATTCAAACCGGACCGTACGGGAAGCTGTACCGTTCCTGGCTCGACGGCCAGTCTATGCCAGGTGACCAGCTGGACATTTTCGGCAATCTGACTACGGCGCGAACGTCAACCTTTTGTCAGCCACTAGGTCCGTACGACTTTTTGTCCGAAGGTGACAATGTGGCGTTCAACCCGCTACTAACGACCGGTATTCAGGACCCGAGCAACCCAAATCTCGGTGGTTGGGGCGGTCGAAGTATCCAGAATAGCACCTCACCGAACCTGTGGGAGATGGTTGGAAGCGAGAAGAACCAGACCGGCGCCGAAACCGATAACTACACAACGGATCGCTGGGCTGCGTCCATCCAGAACGACTTTGCGGCTCGCATGCAGTGGACATTGACACCGAACTATGAACATGCCAACCACCCACCGTCGGTGGAGATCCTGAACGGAACCACAGTAAAGGCGTATCCTGGGGCGACTGTGGAGCTAGCCGGTGCAGTTAGCGATCCAGACCTCGACAATGTCACCACATCCTGGTGGCAGTACTTCGAAGAAGGCACATACCCGGGAAGCGTGACTGTTACTGAATCCGACAACCACCGAGCAGACGTGACAATCCCAGCTGATGCAAAAACTGGCCAAACTATTTCAATCATTCTCCAAGCGACAGACAATGGGCAATTCCCATTGACCCGCTATGGCCGCGTTTTTATCCAAGTCATCTAATCCCAAGAACCTGGACCGTTATGTCGCTGCAGGGTCCGATATTGATGAAATGAGATAGGCAAGCATCGAGATTTCCCATCTTTTGGCCTTACGCATAATTGTAAAGGGTAGGGTAGATAGATACTATTAGTCGGTGGCTATGATAGAGGATAACTTGTACTCCAATGCCCTTGCCCTACTAACGTTTCTTTTCACCGCTACGTCTTTCGAATGTGGTGGTTTATTATGTGATATGCCACGATTTGGTTCAATGTTAGCTATTTCTTACGAAACTATTTATACAATGAGATTCCCCTCGGCGATTGGCTCCAACTATCATAGACTCACAGTATCATTCCGCAAAATCGGTCCCGGCGGTTTCCCCGCCTGGCCCGGAAGTAGCTGTTGCTCTTAACCTATAAAGAGCTACCTAAGCGCATGCCTCTGGATCCTGACTTCACTCCCCGGTATAACCCATGGGAACAAAGATTGTATATATGCCCGGAGGCCGATTTTTACAAAAGCATCCGTACCGGTAAGGGTAGCGTGAAGACAGATATTATCAAAACCGCTACCGAGAACGGTATTTAGCTGCAATCAGGTAACGAGCTACATCCCGATATTATTGTCACTGCCGCAGGCCTAAAGTTGCGTATCGCTGGCGGTATTAATATCTTTATCGATAGTGAACAGTATTATATTGGCGATCACTTTCTTTGAAAGTATGCTATGATAGACAATCTGCCGAATACTATTTTTGCTTTCGGTTATATTCACGCCAGCTGGACTATAGAAGCCGATACTGCTGTAAAACTTGTATGCCGTATGCTCAAGAAGATAGAGAAGGACGGCACTACAATAATAGTGCCCCGAATAGGAGTTGAAGAGAGAAGCGAAGATACCATTTCTAGACTTGAAGACGACCTATGTCCAACAAGCACAGAATGTGCTACCAAGCGTGGGCGACCGTTCTGTGTCGCAACGAAGATCATACTATTGGAGAGATCTCGCGGTTGCGTATATGGTAATCACAAGAAAGGGACAGAGTGGACGAAATGAGCGTAAGACTCTAACAGTATTACCTTCAACGGCATTTCTTCCTCTGTTTGTTAAAGTAGCTAGAATGCATCCTTATAGAATCCACGCGGACCGGGTAACGTCACCAGGGTTCCCTGAAGCTCACGAAACACCCTACAGACAGGCATCCAGTCCCACTGTCATCCCACAACGCCCTTCATATTGAACCTGGGAACTATATCGTGACTCCCATCCGCAAAAGCGTTGGCTGCGGAGGGATGGGCTTGTGCTACCATTTTGGGGTACTTGAAAAACCGAAGTCAGCAGAAATTTCAATATGCTACAGAAAGGTGGCATTCACGAAGTGTGCAGTAATATTATGAATGTGATCTTTCCAGCCGCACGTCCCTTGAAAGCCAGGACTTGCAATTCATTGAGACACATGAGCGAAGGTAGCCAGTTGCTCCGCAGCACGAAGCCGTTGCCTTTTGCGGGATCGATGGCTGCCCTTCCAGGTACGTTTCCAGTCTCTGTGCTGCCGCGCAGAATGTTAAAATGGCCAAAACGCCATCACTCCAACAAAGATCTAGCCGTCGTACGTCAGATTTCTATTTCTCAATGCAGAATGCCGTGGTGCTGCCGCATATTACCAGAGGAAGGGGACAAATATTCCCGCCCGATGACGCAATCACAATAGAGTTGGTCATAATACTCATCCATTCGATGGCAGCGACCAGCTCTAAAATGTTTCCTTGGACACCTTTTTGAAGCATCTGCACTGAATGGAATTTCGCTTTGGGTTAGCGACAGGCGTCCGCTTCTATATTTGCAAGGATGCAGGCTCGCGCCTCGGAATAGAGCATTTTATGCGCCGGACGCCTTCGCAAAGAGCGAAGGTTGCATCCTCTTCGAATGTGGGTCCTGCTGCCCTGGCTGACCCGGTTCCTCGCTTTGATGGTCGGAAGCTGTAAACTGCGCTACAGATGCGATTGTGACCTATTCATAGGTCTTTGTGATGGACGCGTCACGCGATGTGGATAGATAACCGGGCCGGTTGCCATTGTACTGGAATAGAGTGTCGATCGCACTGGTCGCACGCAATGGATTGGGGCCGCCGCTGTGGATGCCGATGAACTTGTTCGTCTTTCCAGCAACTCTTCATCCATACAGTGGCACGATGGAAGCAGAGCGACATATAGCTGCTGTCACTGAGGGGCCCCAGGGCCGCGATTCCCAAATTATAGCGAGGATGCATACTTCCTTGCAACAAATATTGCGAGATTGGCATATCAATTACATCGACATATCAGTTGAATCGTTGTGAAAGCGTGTCACGCCCAGCCAGCTGACGGGCGAGTTCGTCCTCTCTTAATAATATGACTGCGCCAAGTTCAACCAATAGCGTCTCTGCCCGTTCTTCTGGGAAAGGGGCGACATGAGGTTCTGCCACTGTACCAGTGCCTTGGACATAACATGTTGTCCTGCACTGCTTTCGGGTCTCTTGTTGAGACTTTCTATTGGCCAGCCACGTCACTGTGCATTCTAACCCGCGCATATCGCATGTTTTCCAGGGAGTTGTCGGCTTCTGCCCGTTAACAGGGATATTCTGCCGCAGGCTGCAGGCTCGTTTCGCGGTCCGACACAGATCGCAGGAATGGTTTTGCTTGCGCGGGTTCTGCGTTGTCCCCAGTCCTTTACTGAAAGTGGCACCAACACCGGCGTGTTGGGTAGAGCAGGCAGGCCGACTTACAAGGGATTCAATATAGTTGGAGAAGGGATCTCGTTCGGTGGCGTCCAAGTTGTCCATTTCGTTGGAAGGCAAGAAGGCTCAGCATTTAAATCTCAGGATGAACAAAAGCACTCGATCCAGGTGACATTATGCTGTAATCACGATCGTGGTTGATGCAAAGCATAGGCAGGCATAGTACACTATTTTTGCACGCTGTAAAGGTAGAACACGTAGGGTGGGAAAGCGTCAGACTGGTGATGGGGTTTGGAGGCAATAATTATGCGAGGTACAGATCTGGGGAGTTCCTGATCAACGGTGGCGACAAATTTTGAATGCTGCACACAATGGGAAGGTGTTGTTAGTTCACCGACTAACATATATCACATAGAGATAAAAGCACACAACTGTCTAAAGGTGCTCTAAGAGGGTTCTTCCTATACCTAGATACAGATCACTCTGACAGTCGTCAGGAACAATGTCTTTATCCACGCGATAAACCTAAGAGAAGGACCCCAACGCCGTCACTAAAAACATGGTTTCTCGGTAGTCATTCTGCTAATATCTGATTAGTCCCGAAGCATTAGCGTGAATCTTATTTTCACTAGTTTGAAGCCAACTATTGACTATTATGCGTGCCACTGTTGCGGCGATGGTCCCCCCCGGAGCCACACGTTCCGCGGGCTCCGTGGCTCCGACGGTGCTGAGTGGTGGATCGACAGGCCGCCACGGCCTCGAACCTACCAAGCCCCGAAAGCGTAAGTATGGTACAGGCCAAAAGCGCACGGATGATAAATATCGTGGTCGGGCAAGCCCAGCAACCCTAGGCATCGATGGTTCAAAGAGCAGGGGATGTGGACAGAAAGTTCAATAAACCAAAGCGCCAGGATGCAAGTAGAGTTGACACAGTACATATTGGCGAAATGAACCACATCTGCCAAACCCTTCACCAAGCCACCACGGATAGCTGCACTGTCTTCTCAGCACGGAAGACTAGGATTGTAGAAAGTCATTTGAATTTCGAGGAAGAGAGCAACGAATAGCCGGTTCCACTTGAAGATGACCCCGAGACGATAGAAGAAAGGAGAAGCTTGTTGTGACGAGGATCACTCACGAGTCATGACAAACACCTGTCCAGTTAAGTTTTTTGGTGCCACTAAACCAACACATTCGGTACATACCTCAGTACGGGATAGTTAAACTCTCACAGTTCATGACATAATCACCTGGTCAATGCAGGAACTTGGGGACACTCCAGAAAGGTGTAAGGCCTCTGACCTAACCAATGTGTTGGGGTGTCCCTATCAATAATAACAGTGCCACTACCTACTTCTTGTGAGTCCCACCACCCCTGATCCGCAACGACTCTGACCTCCACTTCGAATCGAATTGTTACGACGCATGTGTCGACGACAGCTATAAACTAGTCGTGTGACTTTTGCCTCACATACGATGTGACTGGAATCCCACCGGGCCGCAGTTTAGAGCTATGCAACTTGTATCAACTGCGACGGTCATCGTGGGTCAACTGCGGATATCGTTGATGCGGTCTCATTCTGACGGTTTCAAGGCTCTGGAATGGACATTGCTCGGACTTTGTCTTCTTTTAGTCCTCGCTCGTCTTTTCCTCCGACTGCACCTCGAGCACAGGAGGCTGATCTTTAGTGATTACTTGACATGCCTCGCGTTCCTAAGCGGCGTTTGTCTAGCAGCATTTGACCTGAAGCTAATGTCGCTGGGATGGTTGAGGCCCTCAACTACTTGGTCTGAATTCGAGTCAAATGCAGAACCATCGACGCAAAAGGTTATCGCGCAAATGCAAATATCAAAATCATGGTGCTAAAATATCAGCAGTTCGTGTTCATCGGATGGTTTCCGCTTCTCACCACACTGTATCTCAACAAAGCCGCTCTCCTATCGTTTCTTTTCTATATTTTTCCGTCGACCTTAAGATCGATATTCTGTTCTCTATGGGCACTTACGATCTACTCGGGCTTATCATACCTTACATCGATCTTACTGGTGGCCCTAAGTTGCCTCCAACACGGGAGGGCAAGGTAGATATCACTAGCTCCGACGCTATGTTGCAACACCAGTTTACTAATAAGGGTCAGTTTCCACTTAGCACCCTGTGGTACCCTGAGCCAAGTCACCCTCTGGATTGCGACCTGGGCGCTTCACTTCTCCTCCGATATATTCATATTCATCTTACCACTTTCAATCCTGAGGACGCTCAGACTCGACTGGAAGAAGAAGCTTGGCCTGTACACAACGTTTGGGTTCGGTATTCTCAGCATAAGCGCCTGTCTCGTGCGCTTTCTTATTGTTAAATTCACATATCCGAACGTGCCAACAACAAATATTGAACTTTGGTGTGCCATTGATGCCTATGTGGGACTGATCGTCGCGTGTCTTCCAGCCCTCCGACCGTATCTGAACTTGAAACAAGGATCTTTACAGCGAATCTGTTCTCACAATAGCTGTCGAAAGAGCGTTCTTGACAGATCCTCCGTGTCGGATAACCCACTCACCATATCACAAGAGATTTCCTCTTGAGAAAAGCAGTCAGAAGACGTAGGAGAAGTCGATGCTCAATTCGTTCATTCTGTACTATTTTTTTTTGTGATAGTTCTGTATTATTTATGTGGTAGTTCAGCGGTGGACATGCCGATTTACCAGCCCGTTGACTAGATCCCCGTCACAATCCCCTCCATTGAATGAACACTCTTAGCCATCATTGGGTACCTCAAAAGTAAAAGGAAAAGACAAGCGGATCGCGCAGTACATGATGAAGGAGGGAAGTGCGCTGTTTTCCGGAAAAGCTGCTATTCGACATTCTGGCTTCGATAAACCAGAGTCAACTTCCAACTCCAACTCATGCAACGACTGGGCTTTGCCAACCGTGCTGTTAAGTTTTGGGGTTTGAAAGAGAATCGCGAGCAATTCGAGCCGGGCCCTCTGAGAAACTCCACGAAACTCGATCTCGATCGAGTAGAGCTCGAAAAAGCCTTCGAAGATATCCTCACTCGTTACGCGGGCAATATTCGTTCAATATGGCCAGACGTGGACGATAAACAAGGCCTGTTCTACGACATGTTCGGAATCCGAACGGTTAACGCTCACGACCGGGCACGAAGAACACGGTCAGCCGGAAAAGGTCTGCAAGGTCTCCATCGACTTAGCCCCCGGTGCTATCCCGTTTGGCAAAGGCCGTGCAGATGTTCGTGTGGATGAAGTTCGATTCTGCCTCGTCGGTGCATCAGTCGAGCCCGATGGACCCCGGCGCCAGCGAATTCTGGTCCACATAGTAGATCACTCGGGGTATGATATGTTCGAGGACGTGAACCATCATCGCCTAGAATTCTCCCACGACATGGCCAGTATTCCATTTGCATACGATACGGCCCTCGTGAGGAGAAAACGGGATCTTACTTCTCGTGCAAAACTCAGCCGACAAAATGCTTTGCGGGATTCCTGGACTGGCGGATGGGCCCGCGCGGCCAATTCCATTGCAGCGGTTGGGCCCTTTACCACCTGGCGTCTTGTGGTTCGAGAGTCTGAAAATCTCGGGCTGGATATGAGTGAGGTGGCAACGGCTCATGTAACATTTCGTGGAGCAAATAGGTCATTCAAGTATAAATGAGTGGCGATGTCCTAACTACCGCCGGAGGAGTCTGGATGTCACGAAGGTCTTCAAATGATGATATTTAAAATCCGTAATTATGTTTTTTCATTGACGAAAGTACACCTTGGGGAAAGCTGGAAGCAAAGGAAGAGGCTATTCATCAGGAAAGGGACGGCGTTGGGTGCTTACACCTGAGCCAAATATATGAAAGTATTTTGTTATAAAAGGTCAACTTATTGCCCGCAGACGAAGCATCTGATGCTTAAACCTGTGTATGGCATAACAGTATTGGTCTATATCGTTTATTCCCTCTTCACGATCTTCATCCACCTGTCTGGTAGTATAAGATACTTTAAGTTGTCGTAAAGAACACGGAGAAATACGCAGTAAACTTTTAGAGGGCTTAGGTCTAGCTAGCCTAATATAGGGCGGGATATACACTGTTAAGGCTTGGCCAATCATACTGCAAGATTTCTTGAACGTCTCAGTCGTTTGCAAGAAGTTGCAATAATTCCCTCGTAGATTCTCAAATGGTTTACTATCATGTCCATTCTCCAATTACTTGACCTCTTGCTACTATCGGCATTACAGCACACTATTTACAGTATTATCCAACTCGAACGGCAGAAGTTAATTAAGAGCGATATCCAGTTATCGAAGGATAATTTGGCGCAACAGTACATCCAGCTCGACGGGCATGAAGATGTAGAGCTCATCGGTTGGCGCGCAAGACTGGTTGACCGGGCTGGTCAGAACCGTCGGACTACTATATAGAACAATCGACGCCAGTGCTTCATACATGGCATCACGCCCGTCACAGGACCAGAAACATTTTAGATATCTTTAAAATCGGCAAAAGGTCCCAGAGACCACATATCCCTTGGTAAACCGTAATTAACATTTCCAGACGATGTGGCAAGCCTACATACGTGGTTTTAGCCGCAATTCACCAAGAGTGACATGCTCCTCAAGCTGCACAATGCTTGGGATCCCTTCCGTTTAGACGACTTATAAGTATATGTCAAACAACTAATTTTTCTCTCTGCACATATCTTCAAGGCGAACAGTCCATAGCCTACTCCGTAATGTTTACTTTTGTTACTTGGTTCAGTTCTTGTATAAGTGCCATGAATATGCAGATGAAGTCTACTTATTCCATGTCCATACTTCCTTTTCTATTTTAAGACCGTTTCTAATTATTTTATAACTTATTTGGACTCCATGATTGGTAGGCCATTGTCGTCGAAGTACACAGGTACGCCGTTGCGGAAAGAGTACTGTAGAGCAGCGCAGATCTTGCCCGCCTCGAAGGCATCCTCCGGTTGACAGGTCATGGGCTTATCGTCAAGCACCGCATCGGCGAACTCGGCAAGGTCAGCTAAAAACGTCGCATCGAAGAGAGTGAACGCATCAGGCACAGACTGTGTGCGAATACCGAGATGGTCCCGAATCTCAACATTCGAGTTAGCGCTGATGATCGAATGTCCCTTGGTGCCACACAATCGGGTCGTGTCCTCGAAACCGCTGGTTAACGTGCGACCGAGGTAAGTCTTAAAGATCTTGCCATTGGCAAATTCTACCAGACCCCATGCGTTATCGGCGTCACCATACTTGGCTAAGTCCCCGTAGACAGCCACCTGGCCGAAGGCGATGACTCTGTTTACTTGCTTCTTGGGGTTGGAGAGGCCTGACTTGACATCCAACAGGTATCGTCCGGCATCGACCTAGTTCCGTGTTAGTAGTGTGGATTTTGGGCGAGGGTAAAAAAAAAATACTGGGACTGACAGTGTGAATGCCAAAATCAAGGAAGATACCGCCAGACTGCTCAGAAAAGGACACGAAAAAGGCTGAACGGAACGTTTAGTATAAGACAACGACTGGGGATAATAAGGGCCATACCATTCGGGTCAGCTTGATCGATACCAGTCGTCTCAACTGCGTGGATTTCACCTAGGTCTCCATTATCGACCAGGGCCTTAGCCTGGCGGTAGGACTTATCATCTGGCGCGAGTCAGTTTCTGAACTACGCAAAGCGTGGGACCTAGTATGACTTACATCGGCGAGTGAAGGGAACAAGGAACTTGAGGTCAGGCCTAGAAGCAGACTTCTCGACCACTTCCTGGGTAGTAGCGATGTCTACAGAGACAGGCTTCTCACACATGACGTGCAAGCCTAGATTAATGGCCTGTAGGATCAAGGGCGCGTGTGTAGCCGTCGCGGTACAGATGAGGACGGCCTCAGCGCCGCTGTTCCTCAAACATTCTTGAGGCTCTGAAAAGTGTTTGACAGATGGGGGCAGATTTTCTGCGGCCCATTTGTCAGTACCGGGCTTTGTATCGCAGACGGCGACGAGTTCGATCCGAGGCTGCTGGAAGGCAAGGATACGGGCACGAATGACTCCCAGGCGGCCGAGGCCGAAAAGCGCAAACTTGACACGGCGGTTGTCGGACGACATGGTCATTGTCTATAATAGTGTAATATCCCTGTACTCGATGTTATAGTGATAGTCGTGGCGGTGCAGGTAGTGTAATAAGAATGCGAGAGGTAGACTGCAACTTTGCACCGTGCAAGCTGGAGGTTATATACTTACGCTGATCTCTAGTCTAGAGTATATCCGTAATGCCAGTCCGGCCCGGCCAACCATAGGCTTCCACTGCAGGATTGACCGTATCCGGGTCCGATGGGGGTATACAGATCGTCGCTATTGTCAACCACGGGCTTTCTTGAATGGACTGCTTGGCAGGTACTCTGCAGGATGGGGGATCGCCGGCACAACAACTGCAGAGTGTCCATGCTGTCGCCGCTGTTTTCCATATCGAGTAATTTCATGCTCGAGAAGAACTGCTGTGGGTTCCGACGCTAGGGTCACCAGATGCAAGAAAATCAATCGGTCGACCCCCGATCAGATGCGGGCATCTCCGATCATGTGACCATAGGGTAAAATCATTGACGTCCCGTGGTGGTGAAATTCGCCGTGGCTTTCCCAAATAGGAAATAAATGGATAGAGCCAGTGAAGATGGAGATCACGTTGGTCGTTGGCCAGGTCGGAGTATATCAGCCAGCTCAGACGCATTCGTCTTTTCATGAGGTTGGAACATGAATACTGCCTAACAGACACCTTGCCAGGATTTTTCCCGTCACAACGACAGAAAATGGCACCTTACGTACAAGACTCCGCGACAGCCGATTTCGTCTCGATGGCTAGCATCGAGTCGAAGAGTGTGGCACTCAACCACGACCGGGTGCCAAAGCCCGTCGCCGACAACTTCATGTACGACTTCAAGTATAACCACCCTTTGCCCACTACCGATATCTTAGGTGTCGATATCCCCGCCGATTGCGATGCTCAAAAGGAGGCCGAGGGCATTGTAGCCCATCTCTCTAAGGCCATGTCTGAAGGAGATGCGCAAGCTTTCGCTGGGCTGTTCCTCGATCATGGTACGACCCTTCCCAGACAACAATATTTGAAACATCTTCGACTTTAGCTCATCGATTTACAGGCGTGTGGCGTGACAAGCTCTCATTCACCTGGGACTTCCGCACATTTAACTTCAGAGACGCCATATTAAAAGCCGCTACCGACCTTTTCCCTCAAACCAAGGCTAGATGTTTCAAATTTCTCGAGCCTGTGCCTTCGGTCTCTCGACCTTACGCAGACTACTCTTATTTACAATTTGTTGTGTCTTTTGAGACGGAGATTGTTATTGCTTCGGCTGTTATCAATGCGGTCCTCACTCAAGATGGCTGGAGAATTTACATTATGAATACTGTTGCCGAGAGCCTTAAGCAGTTCCCCGAACAGCCCGCACCAGATGGACACATGACCGGTATCACTAGCTGGGCTAGCCAGAGATCCGAGGCCATCAACAATGTTGACCCGGAGGTTCTGATCATTGGGGGTGGTCAAAAGTAAGGATCCCATGCATGGTGGCTACATTCTATAATGCTAATTCATCTCTACCAGTGGTCTCGCCATGGCAGCGCGGTGCAAGGTTCTTGGCATGGAAAACCTGATCATCGAGCGCAGCGACGAAGTCGGAGATATCTGGAAGAAGCGTTACGAATATCTTTCATTGCATTTCCCCCACTGGCCCGATGCCTTGCCATACTTCAAATACCCTCAACATTGGCCCACGTATACTCCGGCTCAAAAGCAGGCTCTATACATGCAGTGGTATGCCTCTGCTCTGGAGCTCAACGTCTGGACCAAGTCTTCGGTTGAGAAGGCGGAGCAAGATGCCGAGGGTAAATGGACCATTATCATCAACAAGGAGGGCAAGGAGACCCGGACACTACACCCCAAGCAGGTCATTATGGCTACGTCGCTATGCGGTGTCCCTTACACCCCAACCGTACCTGGCATGGATGATTTCCGGGGCGTGATCCGCCACTCCAGCGCACATGACAGTGCCCGTGAGTTTGTCGGAAAGAAGGTCTGTGTCGTCGGTACCTCATCCTCGGGATTTGACACTGCTTTCGAGTGCGCCCGCCTGGGCATTGACGTAACCCTCCTCCAGCGGTCACCGACCTACATCATGTCTTTGACACATTCGGTTCCCCGCATGCTTGGAGGTTACGCGCCCGACGAGCATGGTAACCTCCCTGATCTCGAAGTACAGGATCGTCTCTTCTTCTCTACGCCAGTTGGACCCGGTGAAGAACTCAGCAGGCGGACTGCCAAGGACCTTGAGGATCTCGACAAGCCCCTACTCGAAGCACTTAACGCTCGGGGTCTGCGAACATGGCGCGGCCAGCGCGATACAGGCAACTCTACATTGGGTCAGACCCGGAACGGTGGATTCTACTTCGATGCTGGTGCTTGCGAGGAAATTATCAATGGTAACATCAAGGTTGAGCCAGGCTTTATTGAAAAATTCACCTCGGACAAGGTGATTTTAAACGGCGGCCGTGAGAAGGACTTTGACCTGGTTGTTTTTGCTACCGGCTTTTCCAATACGATTGATTCCATTCGAGCCACCCTTGGTGAGAAGATTGCCAGCCAATGTGGACCTATTTGGGGTATCGATGAGGAGGGCGAGTACAAGACAGCCTACCGCGAGACAGGAGTGCCCAACCTGTGGATAATGGTTGGTTTTCTTCCCATGACGCGGTACGCCTCCAAGTTGCTGGCTTTACGACTGAAAGCTCTTCAAGAGGGCATTTCTCCACCTCCGTACAAAGTTTAGATTATATAGATCAAATAAAGCCATTTTTCAGTGTTAAATCATTTCTGCCGTCCAAGGACCCCCGCCCCCTTGTTTTTTCTTCTTTGTTTTTCAAACCTCATATAATTTGTGATTCTGCAAGAGTATGAAGGCATGGGTGGGGGCATGATGAGATGGGTCTGAGTTGAAGGATTTATGGACTTGATCTACTGTCCATGGAACTGCGACACTGGTAAAAAAAAAAAAGAGAAACAAATACTACGTAAAGGCTATTTTATTTTCTAACATACGAATCTTGCGATTAGGTTAGAAACACCGTAAAACACCTTCATTTTGACTTTCTCGATCGCTGGATGTACTCTGCCCTCAGATGCTGTGTGAAGGGAGAAACCAGATCGTATTACATTCTATTTCAGCCAGGGCGGGTTTTAACTATCAGGAGATTTCCTTATTTAACACTTATTTTAAATGAAGATAAGGAAACTAAAACTTTCTACAGCAACCTGTACGATTAATGGTCACATTTTAGACATTTTACTGACTGTACCAGTCATCGAATCCAAGATCCCAACCAAACAGAGGTGTGTTGATACGCTTCGCCTTTCCCTGGGCAGCCAGGCCATTGAGCACATCCATGTCCTCATGGGAAAGAGGGATGACTTGACTGTTGCTCACGATTCGATTCTCCTTAACAGATTTGGGTAGTACAACCACGCCCCTGTTGACGTGGTAGCTGATGAGTACCGTGGCGGGTGATACATCATTCTTTTTAGCGATCCCCTGGATAACGGAATCGGACATAAGCGGAGCGCCTGGAAACAACCAAATTAAAATTGTTAGCGCCTGAAAAAACACACAAAATATGTCACGGAGCATTTACCGTCAGAGCCAAGCGGCGAATAGGCCTCAAGGAGGATCCCATGCTTGTCGCACCACTCCTTCAGTGCCTGCTGAGGAAGGAAAGGATGCAACTCGACTTGATTGACAGCTGGGATCACAGTCCACTTCTTTTTGAGCTCCTCCAGGTAGGGGATTGACCAGTTGGCCACGCCAATCGCCTTGGCTTTACCGGACTTATATACCTCCTCCATCTGGCGCCAGGTCTCACTCTGGTCCCAGGATCGGTCGACCGATCGTGTGCCATCTGGATTGACGGGCAGAAGCTCGCTCGACTCATTCTGTGCGTACAAGTCAGTTCTGTGGAGGTTTTTTTTTTTTTTTTTTTTTGAAGGGAAACAGCAGAGTAACTTACAGGAACAAGTCGGACCGGCCAGTGAATGAGCTGATGCTGGAGTTAGCCGAGCTATCGATAGCCGTAGCGCGGGGCAGGAGGGGAGGCTAGTTTACGTAGAGATCAAGGTAGTCCGTGCCTAAAGCGTCAAGTGTCTTCTGGAGACCTTCTGCGACGTTGGGCTGATGGGTGTTCCATAGCTTGCTGGTGATGAAGATGTTTTCGCGGGGGACACCACTGTCCTTGATGCCCTGGCCAACTTCGTGCTCGTTTCCTATTGATTACTTTAGGGCCTGAAAAACTTGTTTGCTTCTTTATTCTATAACCCACCATATATCCTGCGATTTGTTAGCCAAGACTATGTGCACCAAAAGAGAAGTTGGAATCTCACAGTGCTGCATCGATGTGACGATATCCATTCTTGAGGGCGAAAGAGACTGCCTGCCGTACCAGACCAGGTTCAGATCTCCATGTGCCTGTATGCCCTGGTCAGTACATCCCTGATGGCCCGCAGAATCCAGCGCTTGTAGCTTACCAAGTCCCACGGCGGGGATCGGGGCGCCAGTGTTAAGCTTGAAATGAGTCGGTAGGGACATGATGATTGTGGTGGGAGAGCTTCAAGGTGTATGGAGCCGTGGCCTTATAGCACACTTCCGTCGGGATTGGATTACGTAGGATGCGAGAACAAGTCGAGTGAATCGCAACTAATGTTTCAACGGCCATGATGTCTTTGTAACCTTTTATTGACGTGACGGAGAAATAACTGGGCGAAGTACTCGAAGATCCGGATCCAATTTTTTAGTTCCCCTGCCATTCGCAGCAACAGGCGCCGCGGATTTCCCAATATGGTAATACTGTGTTGAAAATGCGCCGCGGGTTTCTGAATCTGGTAGTATTGTGGGGTAGAATTTTAAAATGCGGGTCTTGCGTCTCTCTCACACTAACATCAACTCTACCGAACCAATTGATCTGCTTCTCGTACACGTTTGGAAGACCATAGAGGGGGAAGAACCCAATTTATGCTTAACAAAAAACCAATTTTAAGGATTATTAAGTTACTAAGACTCGAGGTTTCCACACCTGGTATTAATCGTCGCTCATAAACCACCAGATATGGCCCACGTTGCCGCTTGGACCAATCTCAGATCCCCGCCGGGGGGGATTTCCTTCTGTCTCGAGGGAAATATTCCCCGCAATCATTAGAATTACTAACACGAATATTCTATAATAAATTGCGAGTGGTCTATACCCCTGTTATTACAGCTGTCGCCCCTGGGGTCCTGTTGGCGGATTGTGTCGTAGCTGGTAGGGTGTCGCACCCGCACTAGACTAGCCTGTCCACGGCTCAACAAGTACGCAACTTATAGCCATGCGCCACCCGGTGTTTATACAAGTTCCAGCATTCATTCAGCCTAAGCTTGTCTCCTCGGCAAGAAGCGTTTCTGTGTGTGCAGTCAATTCTGCAACAGTGGTAGACTTGTTATACCAACACTCATCGATAATAACATGGTCAATTAGCGGATATATATATTCCCTTATAGCAGTTATCAATGGGTATTTGAAAATCCTGCTCATGAAAATGTCCTTTCCCTCCCACGATCTCTGCTTCTTGACGGGCGCGATGTATGAGCACAACACATCACCACCGATTGATACTTAGTTGTGCATAGCCCAAGATATAACAGGGTCTGACAAGCGTGCTAACTCAACTTAGGATTTATTCTCCGAGAACAAACTCCATAATAGACATGATGCTGCCAGCCGGCTTGAAAGCGCGCCGCAATTTCAGTCCATAATGTGCATCCCGGCAAAGCTTCTTCCAGTCCTTCAGTGGGCGTTTCCGTGTGTTGGTAGTGATCATCTTCATATCCATGAGTACTTTCGGTGAATGATGTTGTGTTCCTACCCGAGCGACCCCATTCAAGCTGCGGAACCGTCCGTGCTGATCGATCCCGAAGTGGGGTTTTGCCCTATGTGCGTACATGCCGTTGGGGAAGCCACTTCATTGCATCAGTTTTTCATTGCAAACAGGCTACAAATCCCCAAACGATGCACACGAGCAGAACAGACTGGACATATTGGACCGTCGTCGTGATCTTCATCTTCTCGTATAAAAAATACGAAGGCGGAGCCAATGTCTGGTATGGGGTTTAGTCTGGGTGATAGAAACCTGGATTGTCTAGCAGATACTATGGCAATTATTATACGGTTCTCATTTTTAGTTTCCGGTACAAAACTGATGCTAATTGCTAATGTCCCAGAGAGCGCAAGAGGGGATCAAACACTCAGCGGTTTGATGAAAATCAAGGTCGACACGGCAGCCTCGGCAATCTATCGAGGAAGGCAGGTTCGTAAGCACTACTGTCTTGGCTTAGGCACCAACAGCTAAATGATGGTTGTGCTTCCTATCCTAACCGGTTGCCTGGAATCATTAACGGTACATACATATAGGGCCCTACACCTAGTTCGCTGAAACGACGATTAATTCCCACCATACGTAACCTGTCCTAGGATGGCACTAGCAGCTGGCTCAGAGACTCAGCATAAGTTCCCGCTTTTTTCGCTCGGGGTCGATGTGTGGTATATTGTGCTTGACTTCCTCCGTGAAGAACCCGACCTGAACGATGACGAGGACGAGTACGAGGAAGAAGACCCTGATAGTGACTGGAAACCCAAGAACATAGCCCGGAGACTGCCATATCTTCCTGACCTCATCAACCTGAGTAGTACGTGCACATGGTTTCGGCATATCCTTGCTCCGAGCATATTCTGCAATCTCGAATTGAATAATACGGCCAAAAGCGCCCGGTCAATCACCGCGATTAGCCAGGGGAGGCATGCTTCGTGCGTCAAGACGCTGCGGTACATTGGTATCTGTGAGACGAGTATGTGCCACAGAATTAGGACGATAAACTCAAGAGAATCTAACCAATCTCTCGGCAGATCAGCAGAGCTCACCATTGGAGGAGGTGTACCCCCCAGAGGTTGACCAAGTGCTGTCCAATCTACACATGTTCAGCAGCCTTGACAAACTCACGATTGAATTTCCCTTTGATTACGAGTCTGACCTGTTGATCGACTACCTTCAAAGTGATATATTTCAACCGGAGGATGCTCCATCGGAGGAGAGCGAAAATACCTGGCGAGCGCTGATGGCAGCGAGCTTTCGTGCAATTGTATCCAATTACAGCGATCCCTCGCCTAATCATCGACTACCCTTATCCATCGAATTCCGCGATCTGAACATCTTCATGGTGTCAGTTTTCACAACCGAAGTATTCCAGTCTTTCTTGTCACAGCTTAAGACCTTCAATCTCTCCTTAAGACGTTGGGATAACGGGGCTGGCTGGACCATGATTACCCAAGCCATCTTCCGCGACTTTTCGCACTACCTAGGCCCTTTCTTCTTCAACCACCTTGCTGCGGTGGAAGAATTCTCTTTTGACCCCCGCGAAACGGGAACGCTCGGAAACGGAGGGCAAGCGTACTGGGAGGATATCGGCCTGAGAAATACTACATTACCAAGGCTGCGGAAACTCACCCTGAACAACATTATCATTTGCCTCGAGCTACGCGACTTTCTTGTTCGACACAAGGCCACGTTGGAGTCTATCACATTCCAAGACTGTTTTGCAAGTGACGAGCAGCCATCGGTACATAACGAACGAATCGAATGGCGAGAACTATTCACTACTCTCGCACAAGAGTCTTTCCCCCGGCTTACGAATTTTCAAGTCACTTGGGCTGACAGTCTACTGAAATTGCTTGACCTTAATGATAGGTGGGCTGATCCAATGGTAGTCCAGCGCGTACGCGAGAAGCTTGATAGGGACCCGGACGCAAGAGTATTTCCATATTGTGAGGTGGATCAAAAGTATGGTGTGAGATATTATCACGGCACAGTCAACCAAGCCGCCTTTCTAGACGGAGCAGACTACCACAGTTATGTGGATCTTATGGCCATGGTTCAACAAAATAGCGCGCATAGCAGGCGACTAAGCAACAAGTGATACGGCGCCACATCGAGTGGTGTGTTTTGCCTATGAGATACGAGGGCGTTCTAAGCAGCTCTTTTCCATTCATTGCTTCTTGTGCTCTTACCTTCAAAGACAAGCCAGAATTCCATATGAAGTGCACTTTCATCTCGCTATTTACAACAAAGATCACCCCAAGGCAACAGTATATGTGGCGATGGTGAGCGCCAAGAGCTGTCTTTTAGATCCCTTGATGTTTGCAACCCCAGTGCTGATATTATGAGTGCGTTGTGAAGTTTGCTACGTACAATCATTGATCCTCAGACATTTACTTATGTATAAATAAACAGCATAGCTATTGTACATAAATCTACCAGTTCGGCGGTCGCATCGACATATCCCGTCCCTTCTCCGATCCTTCAGGCGCTTCACTAGGAGCTGTAGATCCGGGCCTCCGACAGTAGGAGACTAGAAGGACCAGCGAGCTATAACGTGCCCTGTTAAGGGTCAGCGTGCGACATGAACATTTGGCCCTCGTCTTAGGTTCCGGGCCAACTATCCCCTCTGTTCACGCAGCTTAAGAAATGCCCTGAATTTAAATCTCGTCGTGTTTGTAACCTGGGAAGAACAAGGCTTGGACAAAGAATCATACCCATCATCGTTATAATTCATTACAAATTACCATGTTGTTCACTGGTAAACTCATCGCCATCTCAGGCGCAGCCTCGGGGATAGGACTCGCCACTGCTCGACTACTCGCCCAGCGTAGTGCCTTGCTCTCACTATCAGGTGGCAACAGCGAAGCGCTGGACAAATCAAAGCGTCTAATCACCTCAGAAATCAATCCATAATAACCTCTACCGTGGACGTCAGTGACAGATCTCAGGTAAAGGCATGGATATACAAAAACAATGGCAGGACTGGGTCCTCTCCACGGAGCAGCAAATGCTGCAAGAGTCGGTCGCAAGTCAGCAATACCTGATCCACTCGACAGTGAATAATGGGAGCATGTATTGGGTATCAACATGACAGGCCTCATGAATGCTCTTCGGGCGCAGGGGAATCATGTTTCTTCTGAGGGCGCATCAATTGTGAATGTCACTAATTTAGCCGGCGTGACTGCGGTTCCATTTGCCGGTGTCGCATATACAGCCAGCGAACATGGGGTGGTGGGATTGACGCGGAAAATGGCACAGCTTTGGGCTGAGAGGAATATTAGGGTGAATTGCGTGCCACCGTAGGTGTTTCCCTTGTTTCCAGATCATATAGCCTGATATGAATCGACATAGGGGCACGATTTCGACACCGCCATTGGAGAAAGCAGTGAAACAAGGAAATATTCATATGGAACAAATACCAGCATTACGCAGGCTGGGTACTGCTGAAGACACTGCGTATGTAATTGCGTTCCTTCTAAGTCAAGAATCTCCCTTTGTGACGGGCTCTACCTATAACGTCGATGAGCGGTATATCTATTGATCTAGGATCATGAGTGATCTACGTTCGACGGGTTTCTTTCTGGGATTTGCTTGTTGGATACATGGCTCGCGTTTCATGGTACTAAGATGTCGGATGGCTGTCTTATTTATCGTCTGTGTATAACAGTCGAGGAAGGCCTGCGAGGCATTTGTGGTAAGGGCAGTGATACAGTGAAAGTTCAACCAGGATCCCATAGATATTTGGATTGATACGGCATCACACCAATGCAAAGATAGAGGAGACTTTAGAGATGTCTGTAACATACAATCAGCCAACAACAGTGAAATTATACGTGTGTATTTTATGGAGCAGCACAGATATCCCCTACAGAGTAATTGGTTGTGTATGCGCAAAAACAGGCAATCAAATAGTTATTGTTTCCAGAAACAAAGATAGTTACAGGCTCAACCCGTTATAAAGAATAGAATAAACCACAAATCTCAAGTAAATCAATCAGATGAACCCGCCATCGGAAAATACCTCTTTGTCTCGCGCGCGAGCGTTCTCTCGGTGAGTCGGCCTCTCCCCCCTATTACGCATTTCCACCACACTTAGGGAAAGCAGCGTCACCTGGAGACACCTTTCCAGCATATCCAACACTGTCACCAGGATGAGCAAACACAGTCTCCTTACCCTCGACAGTCCTGCATCCATTTCCAATATTCGCCGTGAAGATCTCGGGCAACTTATCAAACTCGGCCGAATTGGAGCCGCCCTCGATCTCAACCTGGGCGCAGTTCATGTACATCTCGCGGTTTCCTTCGATGTTGAACCAGCTCCACGCGAATAGGGCCTTGCCGTTCGGCGCAAAGGAGGGGATCTCAAAGTCCCATTCAAGCTTGAGCGGGCATCCACCCATGTACGATTCAATCACGCGGAATGTCTCGCCGTTATCATAACTGAGCGAGATCTGGCATGAGCCTCCGTGATGGTTGTTTCCTGGCGCGAGCTTCATGTAGTCGTTTTGGCCCGCGGTGTAGTTGGCGACTGTGCGCCAGGGGGTGTTCTTGTGGTGCCCTCTGCAGGGGAAGTTGGATCCTGCGTATTGAATACGTTCATTAGAGGAGGCTGGAGTATTGAAGACTAGACGGGATTATGGCTCTTACCATTTGGTTCAAGAGGAGAGGTGTTGTCGTAGTCGATGTTTGACCAGTCGTTCTTGGGATCGAACTGACTCTTCAGAGGGTAGGGACGGACCATTTCCATATGGGCCAAAGCTGTGCTAGCAGTGGCAATTGCAGCGATGATGTAGGAGGTGAAATGCATTTTGTTTGCTTTGTTGACTTTTTCCACTTGTTGGACAAGGTAAAGGTATTTGTTAGAGATGGAGGCAGGTTCTGAGATGCTCATTTCTCGGTAGCGAGTTGGTGTTCTTATATATTCGCACTTTGATGAATTGGTATCTTAACTCATTTCACCTTGCTCCCCACCGGGAACCTCATGATCCCCTAATGCTACATTATTTAATTAAATGTGAGGCATGATACTGGATACAATGATGTGTGGGTACTGCAACCCCATCCATGGAAATTGACCGCTCCATACATCAACTTGAGCTCGTTCGACGGTGACATTTGACGGCGCTTAGGGTGATTTGCAATATATAAACACCTAGATTGGGATATGATCAACACGCACAGGCAAAGAAAGCAGCTAGAGAAGATAGTCACATATGTCGATACGCGAAATGCCGACATTGTCACTATCGAACGTTACCAAAGTAGCAAACAACCCCAGTCGGTGCTCGACGCCTATCAATTCCAAGTACGTAAAACGTCGATAGAGAAATGAGCTTAAGAAGAACTTGCAGCAATCACAGTTTCGTCACGTTACATCGGCCCCAGAATTCTTGGTTTGGTTCCTGAAGAATTGTCCACCTTCTGTTTAGGTATACTATCGACGAGGACGCTAAGCACTGGTCGTCGTATCGCCTTATGTCCTGCATGAAAACTCATTTCCAAGCGTGAAGTCAGACGCTCTTATGATTGGACTGAAGAACAATCCATTATGAGAACGATAGAAGACAGAGCGTGCGAAATGATTCAGAATCTCTTGGCCCGAAGTACAATGTAACCCTATAAAATTAGAGTGTTTTATGGGCGATCCGGACCATGCCCGAGTGGGTCGCCTTCAAATTGTGAAACAGAATTCATTTCCCGGGTCTAGCGGCATTGTATGGGTCAATCCAGCGTTCGTCGAGAAGCTAAGAAGTTCAATCATTATGTACCTCATGGGTGACTCCTAGATATCAACTTCAGTATCGAGGATGGCGAGAGATTGTACACAAATATATGAACTGTATATTCTTTTCGAAAGAACTAGGTCAGGAGAAATTTCCGCTACGCGGAGCTTAACATGAATATCCGCAGATATCCGTCCACGCCGAACAATGTAGTAGCTGCCGTGCACTACCAGAAGCTACATCACCATACAACCTCATCGTAGCCAACTCCGCAATGGCACCGTGACTACTATTCATGCAGCAACCCCAAGAGAAGATCGGCACGAAATTCCAGATATCCCTGAGTTCGTTTGTCTCTGACGACTGGTTATGCGGGGGAATCAGGAACGAATGGCTTTGCAAAGCGCTAGAGAGATTCTAACCACACTTTAGCATATAAATATCCTTACGAGTGCAGTTGGGCTTCAAGGATTCTGGCTAGCACTTCGCAATAGCCGGGTTTCCGTCTCAGAGAACTTCGTATACTTTTTTTTTTTTGGGGGGGGGGGGGACTGTTCCACGAATGAGTTTTGTGCAATTACCCACTCCATCGCGGCCACAGAAAACAATGGACTGAAAACCGATGCCATCACTGCTTGTAACTTGTGTAGGGCCAATTTATCCAATAGGGGGTGCAGGGCGAATGAAGATCTGGGCATAAGTCGGCGGTTGTATTTTAGCTATCTGTTATCGTCTAAAAAAGCCAGCATTCCATGTACCAGTGTGTGAAATACCTAATTATGGCTCCTTATCCAATCTTCAATGGATGGGGAAGATGCACCTGCCGTGGTTACTAAGGCGGCCCTCAGACAGATACGTGTTTTCTACTCGAATAATTGTAACTAATCCGTACCATAGACTTGACTTACTACTAGGAACCCCAATTACACTGGGCTGCATGGCTACACATGGCGTATAACAACTCGAGGCATTCCCAACTCTCACTTGGACAGTGACCGGCTCATAGAACCAACCCTCACTGGGCTTCAATACAATCATGGATTCAAGTTATAAATGGTACGGGGGAAGAACTTGTTAAACAGTTTTATATAGCACACATATGGCCATCTGGAAACCCTCTCTATTAAATATATGTGTTCTTTCTGCGCCCGTTATTATTATTTTATTATATATTTAATTGCTGGGGTATCTTCAAGGCCGCTACCTCAGGCTTCAACGAAAGGTGTACGACCAATAAGAAACGAAAGACTTTTCTCAGTGCTATCTAAGTTACATCCGAATGGCTTTAGATCCCACCTCTGTAACGCACAGCAATAGGATATTTATAGCAATACAAGGCGCGACTTTGTTCTAAACGATGTCCAGAGTTTAAGGCTTCTTCTCAAGGAAAGGGTACTCCAGTGAAGAGTGATAGTAAGCGCTTAGATACACCCCCGTCTTCTCCGAATATGCAAATGAAACCCAGCAAATTAGGCGATCGGTTTGGTTTATATCAAGCCCAGGGCTTATTCAATTAGTTTTATGACATTTCCGGTGGCAGAATTGAATGAAGAAACTTACAAGCAGCTTCGTACTTCATGCTCATAAGCATTCCCTTGAACATTGAGTCCAATGTGCGTGAGATATTTGGCGATAGCACGCACATTGTCCAGGTCATTAAGACCGTAAAGAGGGAAGTAGATCTTGGTAGCTGGCACTTCAAGTTCGGCCTTCGTTTCATAGTTCCACACCAAATGAAGACTAAGCGGATGGGGACCATTGCCAATCTGCAGCATTGTCCACAATGTGTGGAGGTATTCAAGGCCTCTGTTAGACTCGGGCGAATCAATACGTCCGCCTAGAGTCCAAATTTCCTCAACCTTGCTCCAGGACATGTCTTTGGTACGGCCATACAACTTATGCCGGGACTTTTCTGGTGAGACACAGTCATTTGAGTAGACAAATCCGAAGTTGACCCTTGAATCAGTGGATGCAATATAGTCTTTAATCAAGCCCAATGTATTGTAACTGTCGGCATCTCCCAGATACTCTTGAACGGAACCGATGACCACAGAGCACAAATCTATGCCTACCGCATGGCACTTCACGCCCGGGAAAGTGTACCCCTTGACGGAGATACCATCGGGCTTAAGGTCAAAGCCAAAAGCAACCTGAGAAAGTTCACGTATTGCCTCATTCTTAGCTTGCAGATGTTGGCATTCAGTTTCATTCAAGGTATGCTTGGGATAAAAGTGCTCAAATAGACGATCATCATATCCTTCAGGATTGAGTTTTCCTAAGTGAGTAAGAAAGTCACGGATAGGGCTCAGATTATAAGGGTCCTCCTTCGTTCCAGAAATAGAGGTGATAGGCTCCACTGCCACTCGAACAACTGGTCTCTTGCCACCTAGTTGTTGAAAGTTGATGCTGAGTTCCAAAGGAAGTTTGTTGTGGGTCATGGCGCTGGGGAAGGTCTGAGGATATGGTCCTAGATACGGCACGATAGATGTGTAAAAGAACATCAGATACTGCCATTGGGATTGATTCGTATACCCCGCCGAACTCATCAAGCTGGCCAGTAAACGCCCAGTCCTTTGCCCCCATTCTCTTTGGCTTTGATCTGGACAACTCATATACCTGTTAAGGAGCTCAGATTGCAGGCTATTTGCTCCTTGCGCCGGCATATTGTTGTTTCCATGCGTAATGCTCATGTTGCGTATTGGTTGACCAAGTGTGCTGAAGGTCAGAGATCAGAAAGAAAGGAATATGGAGAAGTGGGCGAAACGAGTTTACCTATTGACAAAACCGGACCAGACGTTCAATACTCGGAAACGCTGACGCGAAGACTTCGAATAGCATGAGAACGATCTACGGAGTCAACAACTAGGCACAGGGGGAGGGGAAGAGACTCGTATTCCTACGGTAGAGAGGGAGAGAACGAAGCTATCTAAAATTCATGTGGGGCTTTCGCCGAATTCTGACTTAACCCCATAATCTAAGTGATCTCATCACGTATTGAGCAATCATTACCCTATCTATGGAGTACGCCGAAAGCGTCGGTGGAATTCAGCCGCAGTCTAAACGAAAATGGGAGGGACGAGAAAGCAAATGATCGATCGATCTTCAAAGGTATTTGTCGATCATGGACCAAGGAAATATCGGTGAGATTCAGCTCCTCAATTCTTTGATAAAAGAGTCCAGACGATCTCATAGACCCACCTTGGTATGTACCATCGATGACTAGTAGGTAGTCTGTGGGCCCAATACCCACCTTCATTCTATGATTCGGAACAACAAAATTATTGAGTTTGACGGTTCCAGAGGGATTCCAGAGAGATTCGAGGGGTGGAACCAGGATAAATAACTTGAACTAGAAATACATGACATGACAATCATATTTTCTAGACATTGAATGTCCTTTTTGTCCATTGCCCCGACCAACATGACAAAAGCAACAGCTTTGGCTCAGTGGCAGCAGTTTCGCGCCAATACCCAAGGCGTAGACTTCGTTTGGGTGTTTTTCACAACATACATTGGCACCAACCTGGTCCGTGTGATTCCTGTGCCAGAGTTCAAGCGATTGTTGGAGACTGGTCATGGAATCTCGGTTCCGAAAGTCATACTTCATGTTCTCCCTCACGATAATGTGGCAGAGGGCGGGACCCTGACGGGGTCATTCTTATTACAACCTGACCCGCGATCCCTTTCCCCCTACTTTGATTCTAATAAGGCAATTGTCATGTGCTCATGGACCGACAAAGAAAAAACCCCCATGGAAGAATGTGCACGCTCGAAGTTAGATACTCTGACGCATTTGATTGAACAGAAGTCAAACTGCTCAGTCCTGGTCGGATTCGAGCTAGAGTTCTCTTTCTTACGAGAACGAACACTACCCACCGGACGAATCGAGTACGAAACAGTGAATGTTGATCATTCATGGTGTAGTATGACTCGTGAAGACGAGCTTCTACTTTGCGTTATGGAAGAAGTCGTACTCGCTCTGCAGAACATTGGAATTATGGTCCAACAATTCCATGGGGAATTGGGCCCTGGTCAATGGGAAATTGTTCTTCCCCCAGCCTCCCCATTGAAAGCTGTCGATTCT